TATGAACCAATGCTTGCAACACCTACTTGCATACGAACACATACGACCAACGTGCACTACATGTATAGTGCCATGTCAACATACAGGCCCATCATTCTACACACAGTCATGCTGCCCGCTACGTGATGGTGGGAACTGCGGCAAGGCTGGAGGATGGAACGTGGAAGAGGGGAGGGCTGGGGAGATGGAGTCGGGCCCTGCACTCGAACCTCGGACGAACCTAGCTTCGGTGCAGCACGGCGCGCGTAGGAGCCAGATCATGTGACTCAGCCCGCCCAGCGCGCTCAAGTTCGGCGGGCTTGGGGGGGCCCAGTGCATTTCAAGTGACGGCGCTCCCCCGCCGCCAAAGTCAGGAGGGAATGGCGCGTCCAAGGCGCCGACGGCACCAAATGGGGGCATGGCATAGGCGCTGGCATTCGGGGCCCACACTTATGCCATAGCGCGCGCCGCACCCCTCCAAGAAAGCCGCTGGAGGGTTGAGCGGGCAACAGCCGATGAGGGGGGCACTTCAGAACGCAATGCAACGCAACGAACTCCAACCTGCCTGGCGCAGCAATGCAACACACTATCAATAAACACGGCGTCACTATATCTGACGGCCCATCGCCAGAACACAACAGCATGCATCGATGCGAAGATGCAATGCGCCGAGGAATTGTTCAAAGATGCAACGCTCCACAAACTCTCCTGGGCCATCCTGGGCAGCGCCTCAAAACACCAGGACCACGGAAACGCGCCCGAACGAGGCCAACGGACGTGGATTGTCAGTGAAATTACCCTTGCGAGCATCAAATGTTACGTATGTGCGGGGGGTGGCGGGGTGCTGGGGGACGTCGCGCGGCCATTGTGAACGCCAGGGGGCATCCTGGAGCCTGCAGGCTGCCGATAGCTCAGACAAGCGAAACTGCTCGGACCGCACGGTCGAGGAGAAGGAGAGGGGGGGCCAGGAAACAGACGGGTACAGCAGGGGGAGAGCAGGAGAGGGAGAGGACTGGGGCGGGAGGTGGGCAGTGCATAAATAGGAGAGGGGGACAGCGAGGGCAGGGGGAGAGGAGGCTGGAGGGAGTAGCAGACAATGCGATTACTGCACTCGCAGCGCCATGACCACTCACTGCCCTCCACCCCCTCCCCTCCACCCCTCCTCCTCCTCCTCGCCACTGGGCTGGTTCAAAAACAACCCTCCGTCCCACCATCCACAACTCAAGACTGACCAAAGAGACTCAAACTGACCATGCCCCTCCCACTGTCTGAGTCTTCTTCTTGTACACTCGTTTGCGCACCAAGGAATGCCTGCAACTCAATCGTGTCGTGCGCATCTGCTGGAATACATATTCTGAACTGGCATCGCGTACATCAAGTGCGTGAGTCTGAGCAGACCTGGTCACGAGATGTCTCCTGACACCAGCATGCCGAGCTTCAATACCAGACATATCGGTATACTGCATGAGAGCGACCGTACGCAGCTTCTCAATGAATACTTCCCCCGAGAGCGTAGGGTGGGCTTCTTTCATGGCCTTGGTCCAGGGGTCCAGCAAACATTCGGGAACTCGACACATCTCATGAGCTTCACCAGGGCAGCGGAGCAACCGAAACAATCGATAAGGAAAACCTTCGTGCGGTAGTGCCAGAACCTCATCCACCGTACACAAACAGCGGCTCAGAACCTTGAAGGCCAACGCATTGAACGATAATGTCATACAAGATCTAGGGTAATGCGCCCAGTGCTCGGCATCGGTGTATTTTGCAGCAACTTTATCAAACACGTAATTCTCGAACTCACCAGACCCTGCTGCGAGCACCCGATACGTGCGACATCGGCTGGCATCCTCACCATCGATGTGCTTCTGGGCAACTTGCGCTCTCTGTTTAACCTCCCAGTCGGCCGACCCCAGCAACAGCTGGTCAGCAATCAATTCTACTAGAGGGAACATCGCGCTTCTCATTAACATGAGTTGCCCCAGAACGCCGTTCTTACTGAGCCACTTGGCCGCTTTCAGACGACTCTTGTGGTGATCTTCCGCTGACTGATTGCCCTCCCCGTGCCCCCCCGCCCCACTCTCCCCCGCGCCGCCCTGCCCAGCAGCACGGCCCAGGCCGCTGGCAGCGTCATCGGCGGGGATGTCCTCGAGGGGGAGAGGGGGCAGAGCGTCGTCATCGGCAAGCGGCAAGAGCGGAGGCCGAGGAACACCAGCAACCACCGTTGCAACGTCTGACTTGCCACCCATCATCCGACAGAACAGAGGGTACGACTTGCTCAACAAACCGTGCACACATTCGAGTCGACCGAGCTCTTCAATAGCCACGTCCGCTCCGAGCCACCTGCTCCTGGGCCAGATGCTCGGCTGACTACTGGCCAAAGCGAACGTGAGCCCCCTGGACATCAATTTAGCGATATAATCTTTACCGCGGGCCTCAACGAACTCTGGGTCAACATAACATTCGATGGCATCAGTTCTGCGCCAGTCACCATTCGGAAGCACTGCGAGCAACAACTTTTTGGCCTCCAGGTTGGCACCGATTGTCATGAAAAGCCGAAGACAGTGATTTTTATACTCTTGTGCTTCTGCGGGCGGGCTTCCAGACAAGACCTCCAACGGCATCGACATGATCGTCGCTTCGAGTGCTTTCCGAAAGACTGTCATGGTGGGGCCGTGGTTCAGAGAAAGAGCACAATGAATAGACCCACTTACGTCATCCACGAAACTGGCCCCAATAACCTTCTCAAAACAACCAGAAGACATGTGCACTTCACACGGGCAGAACAGAGTCGACCAATCGTCACCACGGTCATGTGCAATCATGCGCTCAGTCAAAAGGTTCGCCGACGCACGGTCCGAGCAGACAACCCGAGACTTCTGAACGAATTGCTGTGCTCCTGGGCCTACAGAACTCGTCTGCATCAAGGCTTGCTTGAGGACGACTGCCGTATTTCTCTGGAGCACTTGCAGGGGGCAGACCGACGGGCCCATGATAATTGCTTTTGTGCCACGAAGTTGCACGAGCATCGCAAACCCATTGAACGTCTGAAGAAGCTTTGCTTGATCAGGGGCCCCCTTCACAAAAGAACCAACAATCCCCAGAAGCCGCTGATCAACAACACGCTCATGTGGCACAACAGCTCCCGATACTTCTCGGCTGGTATTCTGGGTTCTCATATCGTCGACCACGCTCACTTTCATCGGCGTCTCGTCGTATCGCGTCTGCTCGATATAGAAAAGACAGTTCTTCCTACCAAGAAGTGCGACCACATGGTTATCTTGCGCAACCCGCTCGATCACCTGCAAATCGATTGTCATCTCCGCAAGTCGGCGCATCTTACTCTGGACAGCCTGCGAGTCCACGCCAAGAGTGTCCTCCATCCCCCTAAAATTCAAGACCCCGTGATCTAGCTTTGACAGGTGGTCGCAGATCGTGAGCACATCAGGGTCCCTCACGGAAGGGTTCAACCTCGAATACTCCAGGGAACACTGCACAGCCATAGTAAACCTATCTGCAGCAAAAACTGCTCGAACGGTCTTGGGCAGGCACACGCTCGACACCGACAGATCTGAAGGACGTGGCAACTGCAGCTGGGGCTCACCCTGGGACACCACCAGAGCGAGCTCCGAAGATGGGGCCGAGGCGTTGAGGGGGGCCGAAGACTGGGCCCCCCTCAACGCCTCGAAAGGACGGCCCCTCTTCCTCCCCGTGCCCCTGGTGGCCAGCGCCTCCTGCGCCGCCCCCAGACGAGCAACCGCGTCCAACCCAGCGGGGGCGCCAGCGGCGCCGGCGGGGGCGGCGGGGGCGGCGGCGGGGGCGGTGGCGGCGGCCGCCGCCGCCACGGCGTCCCACGGCGAGGGCTCCATGGGAGCAGGGAGGAGAGAGGAAGGCCCCTGCGATATGGGGAGCCCCAGCGGCAGCGAGGCCCGCAGCTCCTCCTCATCTTCCTCCTTCCACCTGTTTGCCCCCCCTCTTCATTTCATTATCCCTTCGCTGCTGTCCATCTTCACTCTTCCTCGTCCCTCTCGTTCTTCCTCCACCGCCCCTCTATTCGCCTCCTCGTCCTCATTTCGTCTCTCCTCTTTCTCCCCTCCTTCTCTCCCCCTCCCCTCATTTTCCCTATCATCTGCCTCCTCCTCCTCAGCAAACCACTGACAAAGTAATGAGCCCTGCGCGGGCACGCTACAAATAACACACAACTGCACAAATAACACTGCAAGGCGAAGAACGAGAAGAAAGGGGAAAGAGAGAACGAGGAGCGAGAACGCTGCTACGCCAAGAGGAGGAGGACGAGGAGGAGGAGGAAAGGACTGAGGAGTAATAGTTTCGGCCGCGTGCGATTGATTTGAGGCACGTGGTTTGCGGAGCTCCCAATGGCTTTCTTCCATCGGGGCCTCACCAGCCCAGGTGCCTCAAATCGACCACATGAGGCCGAAGTTACTTTTGAGTTACTTGAAAGCTATATTAATGTTCCTGAAGGCATGTGAGCTGTGGTAGCACTTCCTTCTCACAACTCTTGCCAGGCCCTTCGCCGACGAGGTGCTGGGGAGGGCTCCCATGGAGATCAACGCTGTCACCGCGCTGTGGGACCTGGCAAAGTCCTGCGACGCGCCCAGGCCCATCCTGATCATGGGCGAGGGGCTCGGGCTCGGGGCCCTAGCCCGCGCGTCGCACCCGGAGTTGCCGAGCCACTAGAGCGAACGCCTCATCAGCGAGAGGACGGCCCACGCGGAGCCCATCGCGCGCGACAGGTCGATCTACGCAGGAGCGAGGAGGGGCATCGACCTTCGGCAGGGTGGCTCTGCGCGCGACGCTGGAGACGGTGAGCAACAAGTTCCAGCAGGCCCCGGCTCGCTCGCGGGCCGGCGGCGCCACACGGCCAGGGTGGAAAGGCCGAGGCGCGAGGGGATCGGGCAGCCCGCGGGAGCGGGGATCGGCTTCGCAGCGGGCGCGAGGCAGGCCGAGCTCGCCCCTTCGGGCAGGCCTGCTCTCGTCGGCAGCGGCATGGACGCGCGCGGCGAATGAAGAACCAGGCCCCGGACCTCGGCATCGACGGGGGCCGCGGCGTCGCGGGCGGCAAGCACGAGCGCGCCAAGCGGGCGCCCCGCGCGGACAAGCAGGTGGCAAAAGGCGCCGGGGACGGCGAGGAGCGGATGGCGGGCCGGAGGAGGCGCAGGGGCAGTCGCGCAGCGGGGGCCCTTCACCGCGTGCAGCCTACGCGCGCAAGGCGTTCCGCATGGCGCGCAGCACGCTTGCGAAGTGGTTGCGGAGGGTCGCCGCAGCGGTGGCTCCTCGGCCGAGAAGCCGTTTCCTCGCGACGCTGCTGCAGCTGGAGATCGGCCTCTGGCGACCCGTCGTTCGGCTCGGCATTCGCGCTGCTGGACCCGTGGGTGCACATCGCCAGCTGCCTGCGGCGCAGCAGGAAATTCATCAGATCGGGCCCACGATCGCCACAGCGATGCGATGGCGAACCGGGGGGCGAAGCACCGGTGGAGAGGAGTCACGGGGGCCGCGCGCGCCATGGTCGCAACGCTCATGGACATAGGCTGGCAGCCCGCGGGCCTGTGGCACTGAATCTCGAACAACGGCGTAACTTCCGGCGGCGACGACCCCGGCGCCCTCGACGGCCACGCGGACACCCTCGACCTCAAGCTGGCGCGGAGTAAGACCATGGAGCAGTGGCAGCGGGCCAAGGCGGCGCTGCACCGCGCGCGCGGCGGGCTCGAAGGAGGCGCCAGCCGCCGTGCGGCGCGCAGGCTGCGGGGCAAGTTGGGGGGAAGGGTGAATGCGACAAGACGGGGGGGGGGTCTGGCCAAAGCCGCGCGTGGCGGACCTCGGGGTCGAGATCGACGACGCCATGCGCTTGGCATCGCTCGGACGTGTGCATTTTTCCTGCGCCGAGGACCATCGAGGAGCATCCTTGATCATCTGGCGGAGAAGACCACGCACGAAACCGAAAAAAAAACACGGGGAATGGCCGTCCGAGCGATGGCCAGTGCGCCTGCGGCGCGGATAGGCACCAGAGGCGCGGCAGCGCACCGCGCGTGGGAATGCCAGCGCAACGAGACGTTGGGGGGGGGACGCCAGTCCTCCAAGCACCCAGTGGAGAGAGCCGAGCCCGACGTGGCGAACCAAAGTTGCCGGTGGCTGCGCGGCATTTTGCCGAAGAGCTGGGCGAAGGTCAAACCCCGCCGAAGCCTGGCGCGGAGCTCTACGAGATGATCGGCAACCTGGACAACCTCGACTGCGAGGAGTGGCCCACTGCGGCGGGCCACGCACCGTGGAACCGACGGTCAGAATGGTGGCGCCTGGGGCCAGGTCGCCCTCCACACCCTGGGCGCTAGCTAGGCTGAGCTGTTTGCAGGAGCTCGTGGAGCACTTGCTGGATGGAGGCGGAGCGTCAACAGGCGAGAGCAGATGGCGCTCCAGGACGCGCTGGTGGCGCGCAGCAGCTTCGGCAAGATCAGGCACACCGCGGACTCGTCCCACGCGGTTCTTGGCACGGCGACGCTGAAGGAGGGCAATATGCAAAAGACCCACATCGACCTATGGAACGCGGCGCGGGCCAGCGCAGAGGGCAAGGAGGCCACCGCAGTCAATGTGGAAGGCCACGGGAGCGCCGAGGAGACGTTGAAGGCCAAGGTGGGCCCGATCGAGTGGCTCGGGAACTTGCTGGCGGACGGCTTCGTGGAGGGCGTCATCGAGCAGGCGCAGGCGCCGGAGGCGCAGGCGAAGACCGTAGGCGTCGCTGAAAGGGTAGCACCTCAGATCATGCGCCGCACCTGCGCCACTCTCGCGGCATCGAGACATATCGAGCCGCCGCGGGTGCCCGGCTAGACGTCCAGGAAGGAGGCCCACATCGAGAAGAGGAGGCGGGGGCCAAGCTGCTCGCAGAGACCGAGCGCAAGATCGCCCACGACGCGAGCGGCCAGCACTTCCTCTGTCTGCTGTGCGGCTCGCGAACGCGCATGGCGATAGCGGACGGATGCCTCGGTGGCGAGTGCAGGGAGATGGTTGGGGACCGTGCTGGGCCTCTCGGCACGCGCAGCAGTCGGCCGCAGACCGGCAATCAGAAGGTCCATTCGAGCCACAAGATAGGGCACGACGAGACGCTGGAGTTGCACCACCGTGTCCTCTGCGGCTGCATCGGCCGCGAGGGCACGCGCAAGGTCGCAGCGAAGTGCAACGAGACGCCTGGACAGATGGGCCGTCAGAGCCTGTCGAGTATCAAGACGGGGCTGCAGCCAGGCAACAGCGCGTTGGCCAAGCAGTTCGGCGAGAAGAGAAGAGCCAGGGGTGCTGAAAGCTGCGCGCAGCTTGCGCGTGACAGACTGCCCCTGTCGGGGCCCAGCCTAGGCCAGCGGTGTCGCCGACCTTGCGGGAGGAAGTAGAGGAAGTGGAGGGCAGAGGAGGAGAAGGAGGTAAAAGGAGAAAAAGGGAGGAGGCGGAGGAGGAGGAGGAGAAAAAGGGAGGAGGAGGAGGTGGAGGGAAGAGGAGGAGGAGGAGGAGGGAAGAGGAGGAGGAGGAGGAAAAAGGAGAAACATGGGATGAGGATCGAGTGTCGAGGAGGTCGTGGCCGCCGTCGCCGGCGGTCGGTGGCGACGGCAGCGGCGCGCGCGGCCGAGGTGCGCGCGGAGCTCGCGGCCAGCCGCGAGGAGCAGCTGGCATGCGTGCGGGAGGAGCTGCTTCGCCTGCGGGAGGAGCTCGCGGGCAGCGTCGTCGTCGTCGTCGTCGTCGTCGTCGTCGTCGTCGTCGTCGTCGTCGTCGTCATCGTCATCGTCGTCGTTATCGTCGTCGTTGCCGTCGTGGTCCTCGGCGTCGTCGTCGTCTTCGTCGACCCCGGCGCCACTGTCGGCGCGGAGGAAGAGGACGAGGAGCAGGAGGAGGAACAGGAGGAGGAGGAAAAAGAGCAGGAAGAGGAGGGAAAATTATGACAAGTACGAGGCGCAGGTCGAGGAGGAACAAGAGGGACGGGCTCCAAAGCTGCGAAGATGACAAAGCTGGAGTGGATCCCAGATGGGGTTCCCCTCTGTTTTGGCATTGATTGCACCCCATCGTTCCCAGAAGGACATGGAAACAAACTGGAATGTACGGCTGCTTTGCGCCGCCTCGACGTGGCCGACGCTGGAGTTGAACGCCCTCCGGGCGCCCGTCTGGGGCCATGCCACCAGCAGACGACAGCCCACGGTGAGAAATATTTGCGAGCTGTGGGGTCAAGGGCCTCGTAGGACATCCGTGAGCGGAGATCGTGCAAGGCTGAACGTTTTCAGACGGCATCAGGGCCCACGTCGTCAAGGCAAGAGGAGGCCGTATTTCATTATTTGCTTCATTGCCCAATCCGTGCTTGCACTGAAGGGGTCCTCGCGGATGTTGAAGGGTTTGGCGAAAGTGCCCCACCGATTTTGGTCGCACGCTGGGTTCCCAGGTTCCCAGGGTCCCGGTTCGGAGTTCCCAGGTTCCCGGTTCAGGGTTCCGGGCCGATTTTGGAGGGCGGCGAGGTTCCCCCCGGGTTCCCGGGTTTTTGGTAGATTTTCTTATCGATCGGTCTCACCATCGATCTCATTACCGACTTCTCGATCGATCTCGCCATCGATCTCACAATCGATCTCACTATCAATATCACAATCGGTCTCTTTAGAGATCGCATGAGCGATCTCGCGATCGATCTCACTATCGATCTCATTGAATCGATTTCACTCCGTCTCACGTTCGACCTTATCATCGTCCTCACTATCGATTACACTATCGATCTCCTTATCGATCTCACAATCGATCTCAAGATCCATAGTATCAATGTTCAAATCATCCACTGGCTGGGGTTTTCTCATGTGGAATTGCTTCCTCTTCTCTCGTAGATCATGCTCTTGGGCCTGTCAATGCAGGGTATAACACTTAACGTCGGCAGCCACGAGCCTGAGTCGCACGCTTCTTTCAGCGAATTCCTATGTTCCGCTTTCTACTTTGTCCTCCTCCTCCTCCTGCGGCCTCCTCCTTTCCTCCTCCTCCTCCTCCTCCTCCTCCTCCTCCTCCTCCTCCTCCTCCTCGTCCTCCTCGTCCTCCACCTCCTCCTCCTCCTCCTCCTCCTCCTCCTCCTCCCTCTCCCTCCTCTCCCTCCTCCCCTCGTCCTCCTTCCCGTCCTCCTCGTCCTCCACCTCCACCTCCTCCTCCTCCTCCTCCTCCTCCTCCTCCTCCTCCTCCTCCTCCTCCTCCTCCTCCCCCTCCTCCCCCTCCTCTCCCTCCCTCCCTCCCTCCCCTTCTCTCGCCCGGCGTGCCCGGCGCGTGCGGGAGCCTGGCCAGCACGTGCAGCCGCGTGACGCCTCGATTGCGCCAGTGCATTTCGGCCGAGGCCTCGAGCTATGCTGGCGGAGTTAATTAGCAGTCAAGCAGTGGCGAGGCGTCCTGGCTCGCCTATAGGTCACCACCCACCAAACCACCCCAACCCAACCCGAAGGCCCAAATTTATCCTCGATTTCCAGTGGGGGGGGGGTCGGGGAACATTGAAAAAACACATGGAACCCGTACCCCCCCCAACCCGAAGTTCGGGTCAAATTCGGGTCTTCGGGTTTGGTTGGGATGGTCTGGTAGGTAGAACCTTTTGTGGCTTTCACGGAATGTTCTTAGGGCATTTCTGGCCGAGACCGTCTTGTCTTAACCCATAGGGTTAATGTGCTAAGAGCAGTGCTTTTCTTCTTCGAACATTCTTGGGTTCTAAGAACATTCCGTGGTAGGGCTATAGGAATGCCGGGGCGGTCGGTCCCTGCTCAAAACAGTTATCGCCCCCGCCCCTCGCACTTGTGCCCCCCTCGCTCGCGTCATCGCTGCCGTGGTCGCCGGCCTCCTTCGCTCCTCCTCCCCTCGCCTGCTTGCCCCTCTGTGTCCTGCCGCTGCTGCTGCTCCGCCGGGAGAGGTCGGAGGAGGGGAAGCATTTCAGGAGGGGAAGTACTTCAGGAAGGATGGATTTGTTCATCGGCTATGCTGGCGGAGTTAGCAGTTATCACCATCGTCAAAAGAGTAGGTCGTCCCTTGCTTCGCCGCCCAGCAAGGAGCACGTCGCACACAGCAGCGTGTCCAAGGACCTCCTTGTCCGTCTCACGGGGGCACGCCAACATGAGGCCTCGCGCGCAGAGAACGTATCGGAAAGCGGTGGTCGCTTGCTCTTCTCCCTTGCTTCCCCACCACCCCTCGTGCCCCAAACCTCCTCACTTCATCCTCCTCCTACCTCCGTCCTCCTCCCCCTCATCCTCCCACTCGCATCTTCCTCATTATCTCCTTTTTCCTTGAGCCTTCTCTTGTTCCTCCTTCTCTTGTTTCCCTTCCCCCTTTGTCTAGGAATGTGTGTTCCCTTCTGTGTCTGAATCTGCCCGCGCTGGATATATGGGCAATGAATGTGTCGGATGTGATGCCCGCACAGGGATTGCAATTATGTCAAGAGCTATCATAGATCTGCCCCATGCTTGGCAATAACAGCGACTGCCACTATACGGATTGCGCGCTAAATGTGGGATGCGTTTCCATTCGCTGTGGCGGTTCGTCGTACATGACCTTGGTGTTTTATAATAGCGGGGTGCCTGCTGCCTTCAGTCCCTGTGAGCGCCAGGTAACTATTTGTTATATACGCCAGCAGATTCAGGAAGCCACCGTGCGTCAGTGGAATGGGACACGGTAGATCTAGAACCTTGGGGGCAGGGTCTGTTCGTCTCATGTCTGTCCACGACGAGTTGTCCTACTTCGCCCGTGATACTCTTCGCGCGACTGGAAGCATGCTTTCTCTCTCTCTCTCTCTCTTCCTGTGTCATTCATTATCTTTCGCTATCTCTCTCACTCTCTCTCTCTCTACCTCTTTCTCTCCTCTCTCTCTCTCTCTCGTCCTTCTTTCTAGATACATGTCTGGACAGCCCCCCATTAGCACCCACTCTTACCAGCATTCACTTACCACGGTGATGCTGTTTCCTCATCCTAATGCTTTTGGTTGTGTTGTTGAGTTCTCTCTGTCTCTCTATTTCTCTCTTTTCTCTTTCTCTCTCTCCTCTCTCTCTCTCTCGCTATCATTGTTCTGTTCTCGCTCTCTTTCTCTCCCTCGCTCGTTTTCTCTCTCTCTCTCTCTCTCTATCTTCTGATTGTTTTAATATCTCACTCTCTCTCTATCTCTCTTCGTTTCTCCAGTCTCGGCTCGAGAGCTTTGCTCAGAGCGAGCCCCGGCGCCAAACGGCCCGCATCCTCCTTTCTTGCTTCGCGAGACCGGACACGACCCATTCAGGTCGTGACAGATTGGCGCCCCCTCCGTACCCCGCAGACGGCCGCAGCCATGGTTCCGAAGTCGACTGGCCGCCGCCGCCTGCCCTTCAAATAACCAGCGCCGCGCAAGCTGCGCGTGGAAGGAACACCCCTTCATCGCAAGCAGGCGTGCGTCGACTCAATCGTCAAGAGTGGTTACGACCGCGCTACCCAGGCGTAGACCGTTGCCACACCACCACGCCGACGACCTCCTAGGTGTCTTCGACAGACACCACGACGACTGCGAACCACGGCGTCAGCTACTCGCAGGACCACTACGAACGCCCCAAACAAAAGCGTGAGGGCACCATGAGCGCCCCGAACCGCAAACCCGCACGCCCACAGGCCACAGGCTGCAGCTGCTACAGCACCACACGTCAGCCTTGACCCTTACCATTGGTCTGCATAGGTCACTTCGGCGCCCGCCAAAGGCGTCGACAACACCACGCACCAAGACGGCATCTCCCTATACGACATTGAAGGCGGCGACGAGATCCTCGAACAACTGTTGGAGCAGGGCACCCGCCCAGACGTCGACATGGCCATCGCAGTACTTGGCCCAATCAACCGCACCTACGTCGACACTCCCTTCGCCACTTCCGTGCTGAAGCGACGGTTCAAAGCGACCAAACCAGTGCCTACCCACATAGACGGAACACGTTACCAGCTCCGTACCAAGGAAGTCCGATGCAAGAAAAACGCTGCCCAAGCCCAGCTCGACCCTGCACGCCTCGTGGCTTGGACCCGAGCCACGCTACGCGAGACCGACGCCATTGGCGCCGTACCCTCCCTGCACCTGCCCTTCGAGGATAAGTTTTCGGGAGCCGTCCCGACGAACGGAGGTCACAGGCAGCAGAGCAAAAAAGGGGGTGGCCCGGCACAGGACCGAGCCAGGGAGAGCAGCAAAACATCCAAGAAAGACGAGAACGCTGCCAGCTCGACAGCGAACTACAGGACACTTCCACAGCTCTATTCCACAATCATTTCCCCACTGTCAACGTCCTTGAGCCTTGCAAAGCCTCCGGGCGCTTCGGCCCCTGAATGGGTAAACGATCCCTGGCAGCCACCTTTGACGTAGCACAGCAGGATGCAGTCACAGCGGTACCTGCCTCAAGGTTCACGGGTGCCACCTACGAACCAAGCAACCTCGGCGCCAAGACGCCCACCATGGACCAATACCAGACAATCTGGTACCCAGACGGCCACGCAGGAACGCTCGCCGACGCTTACACCACTTCCACCGAATTGGCCGTGTACGGCGCCGTGCAGCACAGGAGAACAGGCGCCCTTTGTATCCGAAAACCGCGCGATTCACAGATCGCTCGTGAGATTGCCCTACGAGTGCGCGGCACTGACGCATCGCCTGCCAGGAATTGAATCCAAGTCTGGAACCGCAACAGGACCACTAGCATTGAATCGAAGTCTGCTACCATCACCCGGGTCAGCAAGGTGCTAGCGGCCCTCATCTGAACTTATGAAGTATACCACACGGCCTGAGACGGGGAACCAGCATCCCACTTCGCCCCCCCGCTTTGCCCACCAGCAAAACCGGCTTCCATATCCGGACGTTCATTATATTTCGCGCCTTGGGAGCTGGCGCCTCCCGAGCAGCGCAGTTTTTGCAGCCGCCCAACCACCGGGCGCCCCGCAGCCAGCAACAGCGCGATGAACTCCTGGAGAGCAAGCGCAGCCATGGACACTTGGCTGAGCGCCCCCCAGGAAACACCGGGGGCATCTTCAGCGGACGCGGCGCTGGCACTTACCATGCCGAAATAAGCGACGCCAGCAGCCGCGCGGAACAGCATCTGCAACGACGGAGAGCCCATTGAATCCACCACTCTTCTGGGCCAATAAGCCAATGGCACGCAGGCGTCTGGCTCGAACGCTGGCTGGCCACTGGCCGCCAGTTATGCGCCGCCCGACGCGACAACCCCGCGGGGCTCCCCAAGCCCACAAAACAAAGAAGCCTTTGACTCTGGCGCGGATGTCAGCGCGGTCTCCTCAACTGGCGCCGAAAACCTTGATCGCCCAGATCTGCCCGCCAGTGGCGACGCGGCAACTCAACGCAGCACTCGGGCCTGAGATATCACCGCGCCGAGAGAAGGGGGGGGGGACATACGAAGAGACCAGTTAGGCGCGCAGTACTTCGTGTCCTCTCTCGCAAGGGCAAGGGTCGTGGAAAGGGCGGCAGTCGCACCCGCATATGGCATAGCATAGGCATAGCCACGTTCTCGGCCAGGCTAACGGACCAGGACTTTGAAGACCTGTTCCTTGGGGGCACAGGCAGGGGCAGAGGTCGCAGGCATGCCGCTGGCACAGGGAAGGGGCGCAGGCTAAATCCGACGGATAAAAACGGCAAGCGCCCGGCATGCAATTCAAGCGGGAGCGACGAGCACTTTCAGGCGCAGTGTCTCAGGGGAAGCGGGAAGGGGGATGGATTTGTATTTCTCCGCTCAGAGCAGCCCGAAGAGGACGTAATCGAATGCGCTGACCTCCCTGAACTCGGCTACCCCCTTCAGGCCTAATCATGTTCCGCCTGGTTCTCGATGGCTCACTTCGCCGAAGCCGCCGCGTCGATCGGGCGCTACGCCGAGTGCCTGCGCGACGGGATCGAGAAGCTCTACGACGCGCCCTTCGAGGATTGGGCGGGCGCGCCTTGGCCGGGCACGCGCGACGCGAGTCGGGCGACCTCGATTGCGACGGCTGCGTGTCCGAAGCGGAGACCACGCTTGTCACCGGCGCTGCAATATTGGAACAATAGCTCGGCCGCGGGCAGGAGGGCCTCCAGCCGCCCCGAATTTCGACAGCGTTCGGCCTCGCGCAGGAGGGGCGGGCTGCCGCGGGGCGGGGCCAGACCCGCGCCGACGCCTTCATGGTGCGGGGCAAGTCAGGTCAGGCCCCCATCGGACCTGGCGGCCCCTACAAAGGCGACAAAGGCAGCAGTCGCCGCGGCCGCGGCGCCGCAGCCCGCGGCGCAGCAGGCGCCCCGGGGAAATCTAGCAAGCGAAACCCCGACACGGGCGGCCCTGGCCGACGTCGAAGCTACTCGCGCACGGCGGGCCATTCAAGGGGAAGAGGATGCGATCCGTCTGCCGACCCCGCGCGCGGCGCAGGCTCCAGCGGATCGGGCCGGGGAAGGGGTTTCTCATCCCCGGAAGAGGATTGCTTTTTTTCTCCGATGACGAACAAGGCCTGCGCATGGACATAGACGGCGCGGACAGGGCATGCTACTTGAAGAGAGGCTACACTGAATAATGAATCCGTCATTGGCGGCCCAGGCAACGCGTTCTCCACGACGAGAACAATCGCACCATTAAAGCGGCATGCCGCTGAGGCAGAGGCAGCAACGAGAAGCGCACGTGCAAGCGCGATGTCATAACTGCCCGAAGGAGCTACCGCGCGCGCCCCTGTCCGCCTTATATCCGACGCCGCGGCAGCTGCCCCGCGGACCGGCCGTCGCGCAGCCCCCGTCGACGGGAGGCGCCGCGGCGCGGGAAGGTCGGCCGCGACCGAGGCAGCATTCGCTCCACTCTTTGTTTCGGAGGCTCGCGAAGTGAGCGAGGGGTGGGGCGCGTTTCCTGACAATCATTCTGGAAATTTACAGCCGGGGTTGGCGCTGCAGGAATCCTGGCGAGGCGCGCGGGAATAGCGATCGCAGCTTCCCTCGACAGCGCGAACGATCGCAGCTTCCCTCGACAGCGCGAACTGAACGCGACGGGGCAGATCGTCGGAAGCTCTTGCGCCGAACCTTTTGGAGCCCCCCCCAGCGCCCACTCGGGGGGGCAGAGGATCAGAACGAGAAATGAGAAGGGAGCGAAGAGGAAGCGCCACTTTCACT